TGGAGGAGCCCGACAGCTCTCGCGGCGGGGGTACCGCTCGGGGCAGTATCATCCAGGGTGACGCTGACAACAGATGCATTCCTGTCAGGTTGGGGTGCAACTATGATGGGCAGAGCAGTGAATGGCGTTTGGTCACAGAGACCAAATGTGCGGTGCTCCTAGCCTTACGGCATTTTCTGCCGTATCTCCGGGGTCAACATGTTTTAGTGAAAACAGACAACTCCACTGTAGTTGCTTATATCAACCGCCAGGGCGGCACCCGTTCCCGGCAGCTACACAGGTTAGCCAGGGAAATAATTATGTGGAGCAGCACTCGGCTCCTCTCCCTTCGGGCAACTCGCGTGCCAGGAATTCTGAACAGGGGGGCGGACCTCCTGTCCAGAGGAAATCCACTGTTCAGAGAATGGAGGCTTCACCCACAGGGGGTGGAGCAGATTTGGCAGAGATACGGCCGGGCTGCCGTAGATCTCTTCGCCTCGCGAGAAAACACACAGTGCCCTCTGTTTTTCTCCCTGCCAGACACACACGCGCCACTGGGCGTGAATGCGCTGGCCCATCCATGGCCGAAAACTCTGCTGTATGCTTTCCCTCCCCTCAGCCTGATCTCCCCAACACTGATCAGAGTGAGGGATCAGGGGCTGTCTCTGATTTTAATAGCTCCACGGTGGCCATCCAAACACTGGATAGCAGAAATCATCCAGCTTCTGGTGAACGAGCCATGGCCACTCCCCATCCGCAGGGACCTTCTGTCTCAGGCGCGGGGGGGAGATATACCATCCCCATCCAGACCAGGTTGCTCTCTGGCCCTGGCCCGTGAAAGGTGGACCACTGGTCCCTTTATGGGATCTGTCAGTCGTTTTAGACGCCCTCTCCCACCACCCCTTTGAGCCTATTGGGGCAGTGGGGTTGAAGTTTCTCTCTCTTAAAACCACTCTGCTGTTGGCTCTAATCACAGCCAAGCGAGTTAGTGAATTACAGGCTCTGTCTATTCACCCCTCTTGTCTACAGCTGGCCCCGGGACTCACTAAAGCACTCCTGAGGCCTAACCCAGCCTTTGTCCCTAAAGTGTTGGAAACGTCATACAGGTGCTCTACAGTAGAGCTCCTAGCTTTTCACCCCCTCCATTCTCTTCAGAGAGGGAGCAGAGGCTGAACACTTTGTGCCCTGTCCGGGCCTTGGGGACTTATGTTGACAGAACAGCTGGATTCAGGAAGTCGGATCAGCTGTTTGTTTCCTGGGCCTCCCCTCACAAGGGCAGGCCCGTATCACGCCAGAGGCTAGCTCATTGGATTGTAGAGGCCTTAGCTCTGGCTTATAGCTGTAAGGGCTTGCAGGCCCCCCCGGGACTCAGAGCACACTCCACTAGGGGTGTGGCCACATCCTGGGCGTTGTTCAGAGGAGTATCAGTCCAGGATATTTGTGCGGCAGCAAGCTGGGCTACGCCGCACACGTTTGTCCGGTTTTATCAGCTGGATGTTGCACAGTCATCCCTGGCTCAGACGGTGCTGGATTCGGGTGCCTCAGGTTCGACCTGAGATCCTGGAGTAGCACTGGAAAGTAGCTTCGGGAGCTGGCGCAATCCGGGAGTGGGCCATATCTCCCATAGTGAAACATCGAGCGAAGTTAGAAAAAGAACGTTGGGTTACTCAACGTAATCCCTGGTTCTTTGATAACAGAGTGAGATGTTTCACCAACACTTCCCTCCTTGCTTAGGCACGGAAAGAAAGCTGCTTGGAATGAGTTAGGAGGAGCTGGTCGGCCGTGTTAGTATGAGGGGGCGGAGCCCTGAGCACGGCTCGACAGGTCTGTCATAGACAGACGTGGTGTCATTGGAGCTTTCGTAGTTGGTCACGCCGAGACGATTCCCATAGTGAAACACCTCACTCTGTTATCAAAGAACCAGGGATTACATTAAGTAACCCAACGTTTTGAAATGACAAATTTTTTCCTTAATTTAATATTGATAATAAAGCTTTCAAAACCTTCCTGGCCCTACATGGAAAAAGTAATTGCCCCATATCTCCAAAAGTTGATTCTGTTCATCTGGACGTAGCGTTTTGTGGGAGAAACGTTTCGTCACTCATCCAAGTGACTTCTTCAGTCTCAGCTGACTGCAGGTTTCCCCAAATCTTATAAACAGTAAATTTGTATAATGACCAGTGTTGGGACTAACGTGTTATTAAGTAACGCATTACAGTAACTACGTTATTATTGTGGTAACGAGCACGGTAACTAGTTATTATGCCAAAATCAGGAACGCGTTA